TTGTTATTCAACCACTGTTTTAATTGATATGCAGTTTAATTCGTTTTTAAGGGGGGGAGGGAGTTATTTTATTTGATTGTATGTAACTTTTATTGTTAACCGCCTAGATTGGTTCGCCACCGGGTGGTATATAAATGAATATTATTATTATTATTATTATTATTATTATTATTATTATTATTATTAACCCCTGCAAATATGGAGAGATGACTGTACAGTGAAATACCTCGGATAACTCCTTTAAGGTTTCAAATAAAATGTGGAATGGATTCACTGTCCCAATAGCATGGAAATCTTAGTCTAAAAAATGCACACACGCCAGAAAGCTTGTTTACCAATCTAGTCCATCATTTTTTGTTTGATATAAAGGCATATGTTTTATAGTGAGGAAAGTTTGCCTTCTGCTTCCGCAGATATCCATTTCATTTTTTAAAAAGATGCAAAACTGGGAAGTGGTCCTATTGCAGTAAATCCTGCTACACTCCTAGATGCTGTAATCTCAAGTTGTTTTCTGTGCCAAGATGAAATGCTTTTGTCCAGATTACATCTTCTGTGGAATGGGAAAGGCTTTTGAAAGGGGGAAGGAAATTATTTTTAAAAAGAAAATAAAAATAAAGAGCTGTGTGAAATTTTCCCCAAGGGATATCCCTTCAAGTTTGGGGAATGCCCTTGAAAAGGCATCCTCTGTTATCTCATCCTGGAAAGCACTAAGTATGCAAACTTAGTATGTTGAAAATTTATGCACAATTTTAATTTCTCTTCTAGACAGGAGTAAGGTGGGTATAGCTAGGTATGAATAGGTTGCACCCAGAGATGCATCTCAGTGGTCATACTTGCAGCTTCCTATGGGTCACATGCAGCCCCTGGATCCCATTTTGTGCTCCCAAAGCCATAACACAGTGTCCCAAAGCCCCCAAACCCTCCATCCTTTTTAATTCATTGTGGCTCCCAAATCAGACAGAAAGCCATCCATAAAAATCAACAGAAATTATCCCAGCCTACCCTCAATACAATAACTATCTTGGGATTGTCCCAGATCCAGTCATGGTGGCCTTGGCAGCTGGGTACTCCCACATTCATTGACTACTGAATCCATTTTGTGTTTTAATCCAAATTTGGAAAAAGCTATAAAAGATGCAGAATCTCTTGTGGGCCACTAGGTTTCAGCACTTTGGAGGGCTCCATTAAATGTTGGACTACAACCCATATCAGATTCACTGCCCTGCTGGGCATGGAAGCCACCAGAATTATCGAATCCTGAATACAAATATGAAATTCTGTGGACTTCTCATTCCTCTGTTGAGCACTGTTAGGACAATAGATGGTACGGTATATAAATTATCTCTTTTGTGGGCATGGGGGAGGACTCTTATACCTACCCCCAATCAATCTCCTATCCAGGTTTTAATTTCCTTGAAATCAGAAGTGTAATGATGCATTTTAATTTTTAATGGATTTTATAAGTTCAATTAATAATTAATAAATAAATAAATAAATAAATAAATAAATTTATGTATATCCCGCCCCTCTGCAAAAACAATCGGGGTGGCTTACAACAGTTAAAATTACATCGAGAGTACAAACTAAAACCCCAAGAACCCAAAACAGAAATGAATAAGAATATACAACCTATATTGGCCAGTATGACATAGCGGTTTGAGTGTTGGACTACGACTCAGGATACCAGGGTTCAATTCCCAGCTCAGCCATGAAACCAGCTTGGTGACCTTGGGAAAGTCACATGCTCTCAGCCTCAGGGGAAGGCAATGACAAACCTGCAGTGAACAAATCTTGCCAAGAAACTCCCATGATAGATTCACCTTAGAGTTGGATAAGTTGGAAACAACAACAATTTATTGGCCAAAATCCTTCGTGGGACTTACATTTTTGTAAGCAGATTTACATCTGAAGGCAGTAAAATTGGGCAGATCCCTAATGTCCATATCCAGTAAGGAACTGCTTTTAAGTAGTAGTATTTAATATCTTTTTGCAACAGTACAGTTAAGCAGGATCCAACAATGCTGATTCTCAGTTAAATCCCATGTCACAGTAGTTTTATTTCTAACAAAGAAAGACAAACTCTCGTCTCCTCAAACTCAAGCTCTTCTTCCAAGAGCTCTATATTTAGCCCCAAATCAAATTGTTAAAAGGCACCCCAAAGAGACGCACAGCGGCTTCTATTGTCATACAGTGTGGGTGATCTCACAGAAGTAGGCTCACATCCTTGCGTAAGTCACTTTTGCAGATGAGCCATCCTGTGAATCAGCAGCTCTTTCTGGCATCCAAAGATTACGAGAGTCCCACTTTTACAAGGACAAGAAGAAAAAGACGGGGGAGGCCGAAGCTGTCCCTGTGCAGTTGCTAAGATATATTGTTGTGTGCCTTCAAGTAATTTCCAATTTATGGTGACCCTAAGTCGAACCTATCATGGGGTTTGGGGGCAAGTCACACTTTCTCAGCCTCAGAAGAAGGCAACGTCAAATGTCCTCGGAATCAAACTTGCCAGTAAACCCTAGGAGAGTGTCAGTGTAAAGCAGAGTGAATTTGAAGGCACATAATGGCACCAAGAGCCACAGTGGTGTAGTGGTTTGAGTGTTGGACTGCAACTCCAGAAACCAGGATTCAATTCCCAGCTTGGCCATGAAACTCACTGGGTGGCCTTGTGAAAGTCACATGCTCTCAGTCTCAGGGAAAGGCAATGGCAACCCCCCTCAAGAAAACCCCAAGATAGATTCACCTTAGGGCAGGGGTAGGCAACCTAAGGCCCAGGGGCTGGATGTGGCCTCCCGAGGCCTTTAGACCGGCCCCAGGCCGGTCCTGCCACTGCCACCGCTGCCGTCCCCCGCCGCCGCCCGCCATGATGATATTGATGATTGTTGTTATTACTTGT